TAGCAATTACAGTGGCGGATACGGAACTCCTGATGGCTTGGGCGGATACAGTAAGTAAACGTTCTGTTTTAAATGTAGTTTGTGAAAATGGTGCTACGTCCGTCTTCCGATGGACGATGGGGAAGGGTGGGGGCTTTGTGTGCTGTGGAGTATTTGTGCTGGGAGAAAGGGGAGGAGGGTGGCGGTTTAATTTAAACTGTAAATCACTTGGGGTTTTACGCATTCTGCTGCTGCAGCAAATGCTTGTTTAGAAAAATGGTGCTGAAGTATTGTTATTTTAGTAGAAGTTAAGTCATCTTCAACCAACTGTTCTGTATTACCCATCACATTTTTTCTTTTTTTAAGGTATGTATGCGTGACCTTGTGTCAATTGTTTGCAGGTCGTGGCAGTGGAAATAGTGGAGGATACTATGGGCAAGGCAGTATGGGTGGAGGAGGATGGCGTGGAATGTATTGAAGGATAGCCTTGCTTCTACAAAACATCCTGGAAGAAACAGTCTCTGGTCTACTAGACTTTCTTACAAAATTTAATTTCTTTTGTATTTTAAGAACTTTATAATGACTGAAGGAATGTGTTTTCACAATATTATTTGGTAAGCAACAGATTGTGATGGGAAAATCTGTTTTCTGTAGGTTTTATTTGTTGCATACTCTGACTTTAAATAAATTTTTATATTCAAACCACTGATGTTGATACTTTTTATACTAGTTACTCCTAAGGATGTATTACATATTCAAGACTACAGTCGGTTTAAGATGTTGTACTATGGTTCAATAAAGGTGGTTGTACTGTAACTCCTATGAACACTGATTCAGTTCTATGTAATCTTGGTGTAGTGAATGAGTTTGGAAAATTCACTTGTTTTAAGGGGAAAAAGGTAGATGAATAGATTAGTTTATTTGGTAACAATCTTTCCTAAACCCTTTTGATAAGCTGTATGTAACAATTTCTCATCACGGCGTAAAGCTGTGGAGGCTAAAAGTCATCGTTCTGGCTACGCCTGACCCCTCCCTCATCTTCAGCTGCACCTGAGCCGTGCCCAGGGTTCCTGCCTCCGCAACACCGAGCAGCGGCGTTTATTTCCACGCTTTGCTGTAGAACCCTAGATCCTGCATTTCACACGTGTAACTTGCAAAGCAAGCTAAAACATTAGCACAGCTTTTAGCTAAAGTGAAATAGGTCAAATACTAGTTAATTTGAAGCTAGCTACGCAGTATTATTTTTCACAAACACTGCTTTTGGGGAGAGTGGGGGATTTGGAAGCAAGTTAGACCTTTTTTCTTTCATGAAATTGTATTTAAACACGATTCAGCTTTTTTTTGCTGCACAGAGCTGATTTGTCTGTATTTGTTCAAAACTTGACAAGCCATTATATGGATGAGCTCATTAGAAGCAAAGTATCTCTAAACGACCTATAAGCCCCATACTTGTTAAATAACACACAACCCAAACACGTCGAGAAAACTTTTTGTGCATTTGTGACATGTACGATATGTAAGAAACTATTGTTTGAAGACACTTAACATACCTGATGTGTAATGAAAAAAGGTATTTAATCTTCTGAGCCAGTGTGATCTCCCAAATTAACTAACTGCTTTGTCCTCAATGCCTCCCTTAAAATGTCAAATGTGATCTTGGGTATTGAAAGTCTGTCACCTGTTTTGCTAGTACTGTGTTATATATGTAATAAATGTCTTCTTGTGGGAGAGGAGAATGGAGTTTATTTCACTAGAGAGTGTGTTCTTGTGTCAAAGTGCCTGGAAATCGTAGCTGGAAAGGTAATTGGCATAGGGATCTTTCCAAGTACTGGGGTATTTTTGGACAGGAAGGGGAGGGAAGATGAGATCTTAACATCCGCGATCTCACAGGGCTTTGTTTTAACTCGGTGCTCTTAAAAGCTAGTGGGTTCTTGGTCTGTTGCTGAAAGAGCTTCTGTGTTTCATAAAACTAAGACAGCAAAGGTCAGGACAAGAGTTAATCCAGTTGCAGGAAAAAATACCCTACGGTAAGGTACAGGACATCTACACTTAATGGAAGCATGTTCTTTCTGTAAAATACTGTCAGCTCTGTACCATTTCCTGACTCGGGTGTACTCTGCGTTCCATTTTATGCGAAGGAACACCTGTTTACGACTCGCCTTTTGAGAGCAGGTTGGGAGTTCTCCTTTGAGCTATTTTGCATAACCAAGCAATTGCAAAAAGTAACCAAACTTGAGTCTTGACGAACGAAATTCCTCTGTTGTGGACAGTGAATCCCTTCAGACTGCCCTGTCCCTTCTGCAGTGACACTGCACCCTGTCACAAGAGCAGCACTCAGCATCGAACCTTCCAAGTCACCTAAACAGCGTTTACGTTGCAGAGGAATTGTTTTTAGAAGAAAACCTATGAGAAAAGATTGCTCAGTCAGTCAGGAAGTTCTAGTCACTGTAGGCGAAGTTACGCTTTGGCCTTTGCTGTGAAGAGCACTGGGAGCTGGAGCGCGTGTTCGCCTGCTGAGCACGGCCGAGGCAGGCAGCTGTGTGGGGAACGCTGGGAATCCGCCGGGTCTGCCCTTTGCTGCCAGAGAGGCAGGTGCCAATACGGTAAGTGAACCCCCTTTGCAGGAGGGTGGGCGCAGCTCGCGTGAACCCCGTGTGGGGAGGAGGAGGAGCGAATGTGTCTCTGTTAATGCCCGCAGCTCATGAAGTCAGAAGTCATTTCCCAAGCAGGATACAAACCAGGCTGCTCTGGTTCTGTGCCAACAGTTACAGTTTCTTTTGATGAATGGGGGTAGGCAGCCCGCAGATCTTCCTACACTCAGTGTGAGGATGATATAGAATCACAATCTGCCAAAGAACAGGGTTTTATAGAAAGACAAAGATGCAGGATTAATAATAGTGTGGTCCAAAAAACTGGTAAAAGCAGGCCAGGTACGTAGTTTGATGCTAAGGGAAATAAAACCGCATAGAACATACAGTATTCACCATTTTGTTCGAGGTAGTTTTACTTAAAATAAGTAAAAGCAATCCGAATAATTACACACTACTTCAGTGACATTTTCCCATGCAAATAGGGCAACACAGGAGAGGAAAAGATTGCAGTTAAGTAATAGAAATCTAATTTATTGCATGTTATGGAAATGCACTACATTCTTATATTAAAAGATTGCCTATTTTAAAATTAATTTTGTTTAGTTGCATACTTTTTGAAAAGTTACTTATTAAAGCAGTACAGATGAGCATCATCTATATCCTAGATCAAACCCTAGATCAAGCCCACCAGAAAACACTCTGGGAATACTTTCAGGGGGCTCGTGAGCAGCACTTGGTTTGTGGTGTCAGTAGCAGAGTAGCTCCCCACTCCTCAATGTACACAAAGGCTTGCTAATCAACTTGAACCAGTCATCATAAAATACGCAAAATACTCTGAATTACAAATTTAAATAAAGGGACATTATTCCCATAGTTAAGTTGCAGATCAATTAAATTTATTTTTGTCCAAAAGCTATTTACAGATTTACAGGTGTTTGTTCTGTATTTTACAAAAAGTTACATCAGGTAATTTTAAAAACATTTTTCTTTACAAAAGCTACATAAGCAACTACACTGAGGTGTTAAAAAGAACAGCTGTATTAGCTTTTAGAATATTAACTAAATACCTATCCTCAAAAGCCAAAGCGAAACTAAACAAAGTGCAAGAACAATTAAATGACCTGTTTCAAAGCCTCCCTTTTCCTGTCAGTAAGAATATTCCAAGCCCGTGGCTGAAGGAACTACCGGGCCAATAACTCTGCTGACGGCTCGTCAGTGCTGACCAGAGCACAGAGATTCCACGGCTGGACCCCATCGCATGAGCAGCTAAAGCGAAGAGGGTAGATTGGTTCTACGGCAGTCAGGTGGAAGTGAGGACAATTTATCAAAAAAATTTATCAGAAATTTGTATTTGCCTATCGGAAGAATAACGATTTACATTCCAGCAGAAGTTACCATCAGCGTGAAGGGTGGTCAGACCTAGACGTACTCAAAAGCGCTCTGGAAAAAAATGAAGTTTAGGAACAAACTCTGAAAGTTTGAGAAAGATGATGACAAAGTAAGGAAGAACCTTCCTGTCCAACACAGAAAGGACGTGGTCCCCAGTATTTAATCCTGCTCTTTCTTGGTGGCAGATTCACTCTGCTTCTAGAGCTATACAGTGACTACGTGTACAAGTTGGAAAGCGTGGCTTGCATGAAAATAATGCAAAGATATTTGTTCCAGGTTACAACGCCAGGCAAAAATTTTGTGATGGACATCTCTCTTTTAATGGAAACACAGATATGTCAATTTAAAAAATAATTCAGCAAAACGCACCTTCCTTCATGAACTGCCCAGAAGCACTGCTAGTTACCTGTCTGACAAAACCTCCCCTGACACCTGTGACTACAAAGAACAGAGTTGTCAGTGCAATATTCTTGGATGTATCAAATCTTGATAACTGAGGGGAAGTAAACAAATACGGTATTTGGCAATAACTTTTTGGACCTCTGCATTAATTGCATTACTTTTTTAAAATGCAATTTAAAACTAGCTACCGCACGGTTTTGCTCCACAAAACGTATCACAGGCACATTCTGCAGCAGAATTAGGTTGGACTTGTTGCAGCCTAGGCTGTAAAAGCAGGTAGGTGTATCACTTTTTTCAAGACCATCATAATGACTAAGATACTCATCAAATACCTGTTAACACTGAGTCTCCTCTACAAACTGCCCTGCTTCCTCCAAAAGAGCTTCTGAGCCATTTGTTAGACTAACGTTGTCATCTGTATTTGTAACACGTGCATTTTCTGCGATTGGGTCCCATTTTCTCTATTTGTTTCAACAGGAAGCAGACAAGTAACTCCTCCATGGTACCTTGAATACGCAACTCTAAACTGCTTACCTGAAATTCTGGAAATACTGCTGTACACTCTTTAGTTGGTATTCTTTTTTTTTTTTACAGGATTAGCTGAATACCAAAGGGTAATAAATATCTTGTAAAATAATCTTATGGCACATTAGAAGAGCACCTCTGTATAAGTATTGCATGGCAGGAATCACAGACCCGAACAGGCTTTGGTGAAGAAGGCAGAGGCAGTTCATTGTCAGAGCAGGCATTACAGAAGATCTCACCACAGTTTCTACAGTGATGCTAAATAATGGGGAGAAGATTAAAAATTAAAACTTACAATGGAAATAGACTTGGTAATTGGATACCAATAAACAATATACACAGAGCAATACGACAAGTGATTCCTTCCGCTTCTTTGGTCTGAGCATGGAATCAGTTTTCAAAAGGTAATTCACCTAAATCCCAATCTATGATGCAATCCATAGATAGATAGATAGATAGATGGTCTGTCGTTGACCGTATGTATTTTTTTAATATATATATGCTCTGCAGATTTCGTTCAATCCCTGGATTAAGAACATACTCTGCTATATAAAAATATAATATAAGCAATGATATTCAAGACAGTGGATGATTCTGTCAGGTAGCTAATTGAGATTTAACATAAAAAGGTAAAATAAAAATTCCTGCACACATTAATAAAGCATGGACATAACATCACATTTCACTTTAAAACAACAATAAACTCGTAATTTCTTAGTCTATTGTATAAAAAATGCCATAAAAGACTTCCACATGTGTCAAATTGTAACAGTACCAGAGCTGACAAGCATTTGAGATGATGATTCCACAAAGTAGGTTGAATAATTTTTAAGTATGCCCCTTTGTGGCACTTCACCAAAAGGCAGTGTTTCTTTTGAAATTAGGGCCCCGCTGCACTGTACATATCAAAGAACTAGAAAGACATCTCAGAAATAATTATGCATTCAACTGAGCATTGACTTTTCATGCCACACCTCTAAGACAATTAATTTTTCTTATAATACATGTAAACAAATTGGAAGAAATGTCATTAAAGTTTTACCTTTCTTTTGGAAAGAGAAAATTCCTTTTCACATAACTTGCAATGTGTAGCCTCTTTGTCCTTCAACCAAACCTGGCCCTGGAGAAAAAATGATCATAACTATATGTATCTGATGAAGTTAAACTTCGGGTTCCAGGGGAGAAGACAAACCAATAGCAGTACATTTACTGCCTCAATCACTTAATGCCCTGAGACCAGTAGAATGTCACAAAGACACTCTAAAGCAGCACAAGACTGCTCCAAAACACTGCAAACCTTCTGAGACAAGACAGAGCAGGAATAGGTGCAAAGAGAACATGCTCGAGGTAGTAAAACTGGTCAATGGCTATGCTGAGAAAAGCAGAAAGGTATCCAAGTCTCAGAGCTGAAGCCTATTTCCCTCCCCATCACATAGGAACAGTCCCCAAGATGCAGGGAAGCAAAAAAACCAGGACAGTGTCAAGAACCGTTAACTTCCTTCTGCCTAAACCAATTAATAAAAACAGGAATCTGCTCAACAAAACCACTTCAGACACTTTTACTTGGACTGAAATAATATGCAAGGTGACGTACCATGTGATCAAACATGTGCAGATAAAAATCTCTGCTCTCAAGTGCTCCCTGCATATCTTTAAGAAAGTTCCAAACGCTCGACATCACAGATCATGTTTTATCAGCTTTGGTGCTAGAAGTTTACTTAATTCCTAGGACTGATCACTGAGCAGTAGCATATAATTTAAGCTCAGTTGGCTACCTATTCTGTCCCAAATACACTCTGTAAAATATAGAAGGGCGTACCATTGCAAGGAAAGTGTCAAAATGCACAGCTGTACATCAAACAAGAAAAATCAAAAGCAACTGAGTATCTTTTTCCCTTGAGGCTACGGGGAGTCTGTGGTTCTCTCCCACTGGAGGAAGTCATATGATGAGTCTCTTCTGAATAGTTGCTGTTGGAGAGAAGTCTTCCCATGCTTACAAAATATTTCAGAGGGAACAGTCAAAAAAGTTTCTCTTTCCTCTAAATACTACTAACCTGCAACGCTTTGTTTGCTTCTTTTATATCTTCAATTTTCAGCTTTGATCTAAAGAATAAGATAATACTATTTCAAACTTCTATATCGTCAGTTATGGTCTAACAACTTTAAAAGTTGTAGGTATTTAAAAAATTATAAGCAAAGTACTCTGAACCCTTAGTTAGTATTTTATATTACAGCAGCACCCAGGAGATGCAAGCAATATCACGCCCTGCTGTACTAAGCACTACACAAAGACAAGCTCTCTCCAAAGAGCTCAGAATCCTTTGAATGGCTGTAAATTTGCTTGGGGTTATGTGGGTAAGAGAAATTTGTACCAGCATAGCTTTGTGCAAATACCTAAAGCTAGCACACAGCATTGGTACAAAACCAGAATCTAAACTTCTGGACTTGTACAAGACCACATTATGTCATTACGGAGAAACCAGCCTCCCCACAGCCACCCAGTGCCAACTCACTCAGAACTGACTGGGTCACAGTATATATACTAAGTTATTCTATAGGGCATGAAAGTCCACACTAGTCACGGCAAAATTACTTAGAAGACAGAGATCATTAAATGAAACTTTAACAACACGTAACAGTAACGAGAGCTGTGCTCAGAGCTTATTGCTCGCTATAGTCTGAAGGGGTTTTGATAAAGTAATGCCTTACATCTTCTACAGACTTAGCAACAAGTGGCCTATGATTGTCATACAAAGAATCTTCATTTCAACGAAAGGAATCCATGAGCACGCATCCTCACAAAAAGATAAGCACTGCCCTGCTGAAGCCAGAGCTGTTATCTTCTACTTGGGTTCTTCTTTGGGAATGCCACAACATGCAAACTAGCCAACCGTTTTCAATGCAGAACAACTCTTAATGTCCCCTGGCCCCTTTAAACTACGATTTTCTATTCAGAGCACTATAATTACCTGTGAGTTCACAGCTAGTCCACCAGCCAAAAATAAAAATAAACAGCCCTGACCTAACTAGACATATTTCTTTTTGATAACTGGTTAGGTAATATTGTTGTATACAGTCTAATTCACATGACCACCATCCTATTATTTTTCTTAATTCAAGTTTATGTAACAAAAATAATCATTATCATGAATAACGAAATTACTCGCTCAGCTTGGATGCCAGTTCTTGGAGAGCAGCTTCTTGGTCTTGACATATCCTTTTCAGTTGCTTGTTCTTTTCCTGAAGTTTAAGGAACTCCTTAAAACAAAAAAGAAAACAAACAAACAAAAAACAAAAAAAAACACCCCAATTATTCTCAAAATTGTATTTGCCTACTGCCTAGAAAATCGCTACTACCCAAAGCTGATCTTACTGAGAAAGCCAAGTGAATGAATGATCCATCTATTAAGATTCCCAAATCCAACTCGAACAGCAACAACTCAGGATTAAACACTTAGACCCCAAGAGATGAAGCATTTTTGCTTCTGCAGTCCTCTCCAGGAAGAAAATAAAAACGATTGATTGCAGAGATCAACAACACTATATAGCCATGTATACCAAGTCAGAGAGAAGCTGAAGCACTTTCTGATGAGAAGACAGAGCCTTCAAATACAACTGAGAAGGGAAAATGAGGATTTCATTTTTCCTTATTCAAAGCACTGAGTTCTGATCTGAGGACTAAACAGGGAGTAAAAAACCAATTTTTTCTCCTTAATCTATTTGTGAGAATCCATTAATCTAATCTTTCTCATCTACTTGCAGAAATTCTTAAAAATACCATGTCTGAGTCCATAATTAACTTTGCAGTCAATTTCTAAATTACTAGTCAAGTTTTACTGCAGAATTTACTTTTTTAAGGTTAATTATTTCTTGGGTCTCTATTCTCAGATGAGATACAGTTTCCTTTTCCTTTTGAAGATCGTCCTCTAAGGTTTGCCGCCACTCTTTTTCTATCTTCAAATCTGTTTCCAGCTGAAGCCTAGAATAAGCAAAACAAACAAAAAAAAAAGATCACTGTGCACAACAGTATCATTTTTAAAAAATAAAAATGAGTTTATTTCTGGGTGCAATATACTATTATCACAATAAACAATTGATCAACTTACACGTTTTCTAAAACAGAAATAATGTATCAATATCATATTTTAGACATTGGTGTAATAAATAAAACAAAACACTCACTTAGAAAATGCTTTAAAAAAGAAGTGTATTTAAAGGACCAAGAACATGGCATCATTTTGAAGAGCTGACCTTTGTAATAAATGAGCAAGAGAAGATTAACCACAAAATTCTAAAGTATTTTTAAAACATGCATAAGGGAAAGCCCCCTTAACCTTACATAGCTTGTTTCTAAAATAACACAAACAAACCAACCAACCACACTGCCATTGGTGATGCAGACAATGATTGCGTATCTCTCTGGTGCTCATAAAAGTTATTTAATATTTTACCCTTAGATGTGAATCTTCTATTTTAGACTAAGGCTTATGGCATTTTGAACAGAATTGAAAATAAAGGAGGAAGGACTTTAAACTACTATTTTTATTGAGCTTCCTACATAGCTGAGGTTGAACATAAAGAAGGGTCTAAATTCTATTAGTTTAACTGGAATCCAGTTAAAGGAATTAGGGCTACTCTGATGGAAGATCCACTCTAGCTGGAATTTCACTATCAGTTTCATGGAAGAGTTGGTGTTTAGATGTTACGAAGAAACCAAAGGATGGAAGCACACTGCTCAACCTTCTAGATCTAAATTGTGCCAACACAATAAAAGAGGAAAAAATCTGAGAGTAGTCATGCAAGGTTTTTTGATGGAAAACCTGTATCCACATTAATTTTCCTGTTTTAAAACCAAAACCATTTTTAAAGGAAAGACTTACATTTTGGGACACTACCTCAGCATCTGGCTGGAAAAGATCAGAAGTGAACATGACCTTGAGGTTTCAGAATTGCAGAATTCTAAGGCTGGGGTCTGAACTGTTCTTTTGCCAAAATCTGCAAAGATGACTGTGGTAGTAAAGTGAACATTTGTCACGACAGTTAAACAAGTTTATTAACATTCAGAGTTGTAAAAGAGGCAGGGTGGGCTAATAATTGGACTGGAAATCACTAATTTTTAAGCCCCAATCCTTGTTGTGCCACAGATTTGCACTGCCTTAAATAATTTACTTGTTATCTTTCCAAACAGGGAAAACACCTGCCCTTACAGGGAGCTTTTTACATTACATATTTATCTAAATCATTACTGAAGGATTTAACAGGAGAAAGAGTAGAGGGTTGGCTTTTAACTTACTCTTTAATATTTATGATTTCAGTGGATTTTTACTTCCTGTCCAGTGGAAAGTTAAATCACTTCTACCTTATCCATAAGCCTGATCAATTAAACTATTCTCATGCCATTTCTGTTTAAGTTTATACTACTACGTACTTGTGGGTTTTGTTAAAAGTGTGTATTACTACTACTACTACACTACGTATTTTCCCCCACTTACGATAATTTCCTTGTGAATTAAGCTGGCACTTTTATCAAAAAATAATGCTGTTCTTCCCCCTCCTTTCTAGCTGCACACCATTTTAGAGGTGCCCAAAGGTAGCTTGACTTTCTTGGAATGGCATATTTTCTTCCACTTTGCCAGTACCTAACATGAAGATCTTTAGTGTTTACATTCTGTTCAAAACCGTTTATCAACAACCAACCTGTATTAAGACACAGGACATACTGCAATGTAGAATGTATACTGCTGTCTATTTTTCCAAACAGGAAAGATGTACTTACAGCTGTTTCTCCTTCTGGGAGAACTCTTTCTGCAGACTTTCAGATTTATTCACATATTCCTGCTTAAGTTTCTCATCCTCGGCCTCAGCCTCCATTTGAGCCTTCTCTGCTTGCTGCAATCTGGTGTAATTCAAATCAACTTTGGGTAAAACTGAAGCTAGAACTAGGGTGTAGAGGGTGAAGAAGACAAATAAAAGAAAAATGGGGAAATAGAAACATTTCTAAATAAAAACAAAGTTTGGGGGAAACTCACAAACTCAAACGAGAAATCCATACAATGCCTAGAGAACTAGCTCCTGTTTTTTCATACAGTAAGAGAGTAATCACTGTAAGTAATCACTGTTTTATTTTATGCTTATGAATAACAGAGGCCAAAGCATGATGATACATATTTTAGAATTGAAGCATATACCTTAATGCTTTTTTTTTCCTTTAGCATATGTTCATTTGTAATTTTTGGAAGGGTTTTTTCGTTTTATTTTTCTTTGTTTTTTGTTGTTTAAATAAATCCTGTAAAAGTACTTGGCTTGTGCTAATCACCCATTAAGACAGGGCAGAGCATGTTTTGTGCAAAAGCAGCTCAAAACAATTCAGGCATAAGGCTGAATACAGAGCACTGCAATCAGACAGCAAAAAAAACTTAACTAGCCTAATACAAGAAGACACACCCTGACAGGTCCCACTACATTTATAGAACTACCTCAACTACATCGTATTATGAAATTAATTCAAGTAATCTGTATTAAAAATAATGCATTCTTACACTGGTTAAAATAGCTCCATACTATAAACAAAATAAACTGATTAATTAAGAAGTGAGGGATTTTTTTTTTTTAATGATTTCTTTTTTTTAATTTAATCTTCCTTTCTGAATTCCAGGGGTTTGTTTCTGCGTCAGCTAGCACTCCCCTTGGAATCCATTAGTTCACTGTGCTTCTTCTCTGCTTGGTCACCTCTTCAGTCCAAAAAAAGATGGATGTAATGTTACAAAAGTAAAGGTACTAAAAGGTACTAAAATGGAACTTGTGCTGTATCATGGCTACACGTGTCTTGATGAAAAGGCAGAAGAGTAAAAGAGCCTGTAAAATACCACTGAACGTCCCCACCTGCTGCGTCTTGTTTAACAAAACTGTTTCAAGGGCCTCTCAGGTAAGTGGTGGGAGAAATCTGTGATACTCTCTGCTTGATTTCTCACTTCCCAGCAGCTAGCTGAATGCAGAGTAACTCACAACTCCCAATGTCAGCTAAAAAGAAATTAAGTCAGCAATACGTCTACATTTGTGCTTCTACTGATGAAATTGCACCAGCAGGAGTTTCCAAAAGCTGTGAGTAAACAAGTGAAAAAAGACTCGAATTAAACTACCTTATAAAGAGTGTACTACCTCATTCAACGATACCAATTTTTTTAAGAATGTTCCCAGTCACATTGGCAATGATAGTGCACAGAAGGCCAAAACATGTATGGAAAGGAGAATACCGGGAAAAAGCAGGGTCAATTCACCGGGCAAAAGAAGCTGGATGAAGCTACACAAGACAGGAACACAAAAAACAAGTTAAAACCCTCCCTGAATCACAAATTAAACTGCAGTGTAGTTTCCACAATCAAGGTAGAAAGGGAGCTTGCTACCCAAGAAACACGCTAGCCAACCCAGGCTACAGCACCATCCTCTAGACTAGCACCAAGGCTAACTGCACCGCTGTGATTCAGACAAATGCTGAGCTGGACCCAGTTCGCAGCAGGATTTGTGATTCAGATGATACTGAGGCAGATACTTGTTTGCACAGATGACTGTGAGATGGTTAACGCTCCCATTTCTGCTATGGTCTACTTGTTGTTTTATTCAGTATTTCTGGTTTGGGTTTTCTCTGAGGATGGAAGATACTTATTCTTCTTTTTTAGTAGCCAACCCATGTTAAAGGTTCTTTCTGATTCCAAACCAAGGAATAAGGTAATATATAATCATGGAGGAGAAAACCTTTCCGTATTATTGTGTCCTGCCCCCACTTTTGCAAACACATCCCCTTCTGATTAAAGACCCTAAGATTCTTTTCCCAGTCAACTTCCCCTCCACACTTCAGAGCAAAGAGTGGGAAGCGCATCAAGGGCAGTCAGCAGCTAAAACTCTCTTATTTCTGCAGTGCAGGCAAGCAGCAACTCAAAGCAGAAATATGAGTTGTTAAGACTGCTAATGATGGGTGGAGGGAGGGAAAAGGGGTTGGGCAAAACCACGGGTTATGATTACAGTGTAGACAAAGCCACAGACAGGCAAGATCCCTAGCTGACAAACAAGTTAGATAAGTTCAGGATCTGGGCCCTGAATGTAAATCCTATTTATTACTACAACTTCCACTGTAGCTATCACGGTGCAGCTGTTCTAGGCAGGAATCACAGCTACAAAATTTGCTAGAGCGCGCTGCCCTCCCTGTCTGGAGCCCCATCAAGTCCAGGCTCCAAACACATTTTAACTCTGTGAAAATACTTTACCCCACGTCACATCAGCAAAATGGAATTGTGCTTTAGCTGTTTCATCCCCAAACCCTGTAATTCTTCCATCGTACATACTGAACATACATGTTGACACCACCCTCCTTTTTTAAATATATTGTTCTGATATAGCACTCAACTCCCCTTCCCGCAAACTCCTGTCACACTGTTTAAGAAAACAGTGCTAGTTACGACCAAAAAACCCAACAGAGAGCATGCTTTTGCGATAAATACAGCCTAAAAGTGAAAGAAATAAGCAGGGGAGAAGGGAAATACTAGTCAGAAGGGCTACTTTTAAAATCTATTAGTACCGAAAAGAATAGGAAAAATCACTAGATTAGAAACAAATGTCATTAAAATGTACAGTCAAAGTAAAGATAGCTAACCTTTTAAAATAAACTTTGTTTGACAATTAAGAAGTGATTAAATAGCATTAGAAAACTAGCTTACATTTGCTTAATAATAGTGCAATAATTTACTTTTTTTTTTCTTTTTTTTTTCTTTTTTTTTTTGAGAGGGGTAAAGTGAGATCGGAGATGATGTTCTTTCAGAAAACAAAATAGAACCCAGCTACGATCAGTTGCAGTGCAGGATTTCTAATACCGCTTTATATTTTAAATTGTAATTTTAAAATTCTTAAGGTGTATTTTATCAGTAATTATTTAAACACAACAGATCTGGAGGAGCTTTCAGAATGATATATCTTTGACAAGTTTATACTGGTGCTGAGCTTCATTGCTGGCACATTTGATGAATGACATTGCAATAGTCCTAGTTTGAGTTAACAGATCTTTGTCACTTCATGAATGCAGTGGACAAAAATCAAAGACAGATGAAGGCAGCAAAATAGTAAAAACAAAAATTGGGATAAAGGATAAAAAGAAAAAGAAAAAAGAGGAAAAAAGGATGTCAATAAAAGAATATTCATGTCACTATTTTTTTAATACATAACCATGTTTTTCATAATCAGATTTAAATGAAAAAAAAAAAAAGACATGTCAAACACCAACATGACAGGGCTTATGAATATGCTATATTTTACAATTAAAAAGATCAATGTTGCATATAGGCCACTAAATTAAAACATATGAATCACATTCTAATATTATGTAATACATGCAGTCTAACCATAATGTAAATTCATGTACGGGAATTCTAGTCTTTCACTTTTCAACCTTTCAGTGTAAAAACTCATTACGGCATTGAAAATAATGGTACTTCCAAAGCAACAGATAACAATTTTAAGAGCTTCAGCAAATACAGCAGTGATCCATAAAGGCATTAAATGTTTATATTAAGCACATGCTTAAGTATAAGCAAGATTAATGCTCTGGTTTCTATTGCATTTCATTCAGGTGAGGAAAAAAAAAAAGAGGTAATAATGAATCAGAATTTTGAAACAGCTGAACAAACAACTTTTGATATCAGTACAAAAACCTAGGACCGAAAGAAAGATGGTGGAGGAAGAAAAATGAAAGATTAAGTTTGTATTTAAAATAAGTGCATTTGTTAAGAAGGAAAAAAAAAAAAATCAAACAGTAAACCACTAGTTAAAGTTTCAGAAAAGTTCTTTTTAAATTTTCTAGTTGAAAGTTACATTTCAAGGACAACTGTGTAGGAATGCAGTACAATGTAAAGGGATGGAGAAATGAATGAAGGAAAACAAAGATGGGCCTGTACCTTTGTTCTAGTTGTTTCATAGTTGCATTAATTTGATTGGTCTTATCCTCTAATCGACCAATTATTTCATTCTTTTCTTTCATAGCATCTTCAGAAACCTATGTTACAAAAAAAGTTAAAACTGAAGTAAGTATACATTACACTGTTACCTCACGGGGTTTTTTTTTTTCCAATATCTGAAGGGAAAAATGTTAAAATGGCTTCAGGTTTTGATTCTTTTAAACATTCCCATCTAAAAAATGTAGTTGACAGTACTTAAAATTTTATGCCTAGCGAATCTGTAGTTTTGTACTTTGCAAGTGTAGATGCTATTCAGTAAGTATACATCTTTCATTTTGGTTTCCTCAGTTAATCATTTTACAAGTCAGCTTAAATTCACTGATCATCTTTTTAAGTAGCCCATCAGAACCTTACCAATAAAGAACTAAGATGCTTAGTCCTAGAAAGCCCTAAGGTTCTCCAACTCTTACCAAACTACCATATGTGCCTAAAAATCTTTTAAGAATTTTACTAACACATTTCAGAGTTTTGATTGCTTGCAGAGCTGATACAACCGCAAGCTTGAAGATCTAAACAAAAGGTAGAGCATTATCCTTGTTATACAGACCAACACCATCAGCTGTGTTGGTCCCCAAACAGCAGAGATTGGGCATGACTAAACCATTTTACTCTGCCCAGGAAATGGGTCTGAACATCATTAAGTGAAATCAGCGTTACCCACAGTTCCCAGAAGTACAGCTTTAAAAGAAAAACAAAACCCTACAGATCCTAACATACTGAAGAACATTCTCTTCTTATTTTTCTTTCCAGCTCTATTTATATTTCTCTTCCTCTGGTCCAGTTTCCTCACAGTTGCAGGTGGAAAAGTAGCATCCTTTATCCATCATCTCCATCATCATTTTGCAGCAACCTAATTTTTTTCCCCTCATTCTGCCACAGATTTGACTGGTTTCTTGTGCTGTTTTTGATAATTTATTCCATAAATCAAATTTATGTTCTGCATAAATAATTCACTGCTAAACTTCCCTGGTGTTTGGTCATTTGTTAACTGCATGTTGGGTCTCCGAGATCCATATTCTCCCAAAGAAGCACTGCATTGTTACAGATTTTCTTAATTTGTTAACAGATTAAAAAAGACCAAACCTGTAATTAGCTTGTTCCATTTAACACAACCTTGTTTTCCAAATGCCTTTCCTTACTTTGAAAGTTCAGATCTCCTCTTTAACTCCTCACTATGTGCCTACATTCTCTTGGCTTTTCATACAACGCAGGCCAAAAAGTGTCATTATCACTAGATACACTATTACTCTCTCTATTCCACACAGCATGTCATTAGGCCATGATCTTATTCTCATGCTCTTTTCTTCTATAAACCCACTAACATTAAGTGACTGCCTTAACAGCTGCTTTGTGTGAAATCAGGCTTGCATCAGTAATGTTCCAAAATGACAAGCGGACCTAAGAAGTGGAAAGAAACCAAAAATTAAGGAAACAGCAGTATTTAACTAAACAAAATGGTAATGCATCTCTCACTCCAATCAAAGTCGTTTCATCAGATTAACTGCAGACTGTTCCTTTACCTGCAGCTTTTGGTACATTTCCATGTTAATTGCTTTAACTTCATCAAGCTGCTGTCGAAGGCCTATGAGGGTATCCTGCTTCTCATGGATGTCCTTCTCCAGCAACTTCATGGCAAGTTCTATCTCATGTTTCATACTAACTTGAACCACTAGCTCATTCTCCATATCCTATAAAACACAAACACAATGCAACACAGAATGTTTAAATAACTATGCAACATTTTATCTCTGTTTTGAAAAAAACAAAAGCTAACTCTAACAGAGCTGCAGCACTACCTGTTTCACCTCTTCAGAAATTCTGCCCCTCTTTAACTTTACAAATTATCCACAAGATAAACATGACACTCATTTACTTAGTGACCGATGGTTTTTTTTTAACTTCGGGAGAAGACAACTCACATAGTAAGAAATTACCCTGCCAGTGTGGCATAGAGTTGCCTAAGTATTAATTACAAAAACAGAACTAAAGAATTTCTATTTTTACAAGAAAGATTTAGCATACATACAGAGCATATAGTATTGCTAACAACTTACCTAAAAATTTCTCAAAGAAAACGTATTTTCTTTACTATGCTTTAGCAACATTGCTACAGAAATATTGATCTACTGATTGCTCCGTTAAAAAACCCTTTTTATTACAGGCAGTTAGAGAAAAGGCAATCAAAGTCGATTAAAGGCAGCATCTAAGCTCACCAAAAGCAAAATTAGAAATATTTATATACTGTCTCTTATCAAGAATAATCTTTTCTAGAAGTGCTGTGTAATCCTAGAAAAGAACACTTACTTGTCGAAGTTGTGATTCTTCTCGAAGCTGTCTACGTGCTTCATTGTACATTTCATCTAAACCCTGCCTGGAGTGTTTGTATGTCTGAAGTTCTGCTTCAACATCCACTTTAGTTGCCTACAAAGGTATAGAGAATCTATCTTTCTTCATCACAAGTTTAGCAATTAATAGCACAAATTTAACACTTGGGGTGGGGCGGGGGGAGCTTAAAAATAAATTCTCCAAGCACAGTACAAACGTGGAAAGAGCTGTTTCTGCTATGCGGTCATCAGTTTTATAACAAGAATTGAGTAAATCTAGCAAAATAAACATCTGTACTGCAGTACAGTCCTCCTTCAGTAAGTCACTCTGATACACAACTGCTTCAGTACTGAGCAATCCAAACATCTGCTTAACCTGTGCTTTTACCAATCATCCTGTAAAACACATACAAGAAGTTACATAAGGAGCTAAAAATCACAGCTTAAAAAAAAACTTCAGCGGGTGTATACAGGATTACTCCAAATGACATTCCATATAATGAGACAGGTCAGAATAGACAGTTTGCCAACTAAAACATGCACTATTTTGGTAATATTTTCAGATAATGTTGCCTTAAATGCTCTTAGATATAGCTTACAGTCTAAAGAAGAAAGAAGGGAAGAAAAAAAGAAAGAATACAAGGAAAAATGCTACAAAATTTGCATATGGTTATAAAACAATTTACTGTACTATAATTTCGATATATTTATGCCATTATAAAGCTTCCCAGATTTAATAGGTCCTTTTCCTAATAAAAGTTGTTTAATTTTGGCCCAGCTACTGCTTACTTCAAGTTGCGATGTTAAGAACATTTGAATGACAATGAACCACACGACATTGCTATGTTAAATGTGGTAAAACTAACATACCTCTAGATGATGCTGTGTTTTCATTAAAATAAGAGTATTTTCACTCCTTAATTGATGGTTTTCTTCCTGAAGTTTAATTATATTGTTTTTGGCTATCGCTAACTGAAAAGAAGGGGGGGAAGGAAAAGCAGTGTGACCATTTTTGAGAGTGGAAATAAACTAAAAAATGTTCTGATGAATGCAAGACCAAGACATTCTCTGCTCTATTCTCGCAGTCTACCAAACAGAGGTTTAATTGTTTTTAAAGAAAACATAAAGCTCCTGGTTTTAGTAATGAGTCACTTTCATTACATAACAGCATGCGTATTCAGGATACTTAATTATTTCACGTCTGGTAAAGAATATGCTTTCTTTTCATTGCTTCATTATGACTTAATGACCCTCAATTCCCTTTCCTCATCCTAAATTTTTTCTTTCCATTTGGATTCAAATATATCCAGTTTTGTTCTTTTTTGGACATCTTAATATATCATAAGAAAAACCTGTTATATAAGAAAACCTCTCCCAGATGAAAAGAAAACATATTTACAAAAGAGGAAACGTTGTAACTGGGCCCTACAGTATATACCTTAATGTCAGAATTATAAGCCAGCTGATCAAAATAGGTGGACTGGTGGGCTGAAGGCTTGTAAAGGAACCAGAATACTCTGAGAATTAACACTCAGAAAAAATGTTTCCCCTCCATCTGGATACATTAATACTCAGAGTAAGCCAGCTATCCCTTCAACAGCTGAACATAGACATTTCAATTTTCCACTTCATTAACTATTTCTCAAGCAGCTCAGATTGAAAAAAAAATTGTGCTCTCTCTTATAAAGCTAAAAATACTGGAATCTAGTCAAGCATCAAAGATAACCGGAAATACAGGATATAAATACAAAACCAGAGCTAGACAAGTCTAAAAACTGTATATAAGCATATGGTAAATAAGCAAGAAACAATCCTTTGGCTAAAGCTGAGAACGGTAACAGAAATTGCTTGGTGAACTACTGTCTGTCTCGTAGCAACTGGTGTCATCCATTATGGACTAGTCATCTGCACAAAATCAGACTGACAGCTAGCATTAAAAAAGGCTTCTCTTCTGGTTTTGTCTGAAGTGGGAAATTGCAATGTTCTACAGAATTAATTTACTGATGCTGCAGGCTATCTAGGCAAACTGACTTCAAATCCCTACAGCTACTGCCTTTTCTTCAAGCCAAAATAAAGGTATCTGAACATATCATACAGAACTTACATAGATTAAAATAACATAAGTATGTTTAGAAAAACAGTGTTTGAGAGTAAATAATATCTATTATACATTACTAAAAGAAAATAATACCTCTTCGATCAGTTTAGTGTTTGATTTCTCTAGTGAATCAACTCTTGCATGTAGACTGTTAACTGTGCTACTGAAAGAGAAAAAGAAAAAACGTTATTCAAAATTACATCAAAACTCATTCAACCAAGCTCAAAAGCTTTAATGTGAGGTACAATGATTAATGGTTAAGTGCTAAAAGGTCTGCTCCCATTATTTGAGGTTTTCCTAAATATAAGAAAATTAGTCTCCTTTGTTGAACATTTATATACTTCTTTCCAACTCCCTATGTCATCCCTGTCACTTAAACTCCTGATTGGGGGTGACTTTACATGTATTCTCCCTTTCCTTTATCCTCACAACTATATTGTATCCAAACATTTAATGAGTTCCCTTAAAAGACAGTTTACAATCTCCTTGGGTTTTCTCCCCCCATATAACAAAACCATTCTCCAGGTTCTCTTCCTCCAAAACCCATTTCTTTTATAAAATTATTTGTTTCTCCACATTTTTTGAGATTTATCCTCAGGCTACCTCTTTCTTGATGCTTCTTGACTTCATTTATAAGTCTCAGCAGAATTTTAATCCCTTTTATTACTCCGTGGTTTTTTATCGTATCAAACTAGATCTAGGCCTTATCCATTACCTGATTGCCTATTTCTGCAGTAAGCACATTTTTTCAGGCTGCACCTCACACACAGAAAAAAAAACGCTATTCTGTAACACTGTTTACTTTTCCACATATTTCTACTGTGGTGTCCTCAGAAGTTATCAGTTCATTAAGAATGGCAAGGTAGAAGAGATTAATGCATTTTAGGATGTGTGGAATGGAATAGCTGACCTGAAATAAAATAGGAGAGTTGTTGAACCACTGGCTTGCAAGTAATTCCATGCATAAACCAGCGTACAAGAACATACTCAATGCACAGGGGCTCACCTGAATGATGACAGCTATCATCACACAAACACCACTATTTTTAGTTGTCAATAGTTCTTTTCTCCTCCATAACTTACTTTCATTTTGCTCATATTTGACCAGTCAGTTATTCTGTGTCCTGTTGAAGGTTTCTGCTCAGTGACTGACACAATTTCAAATCAGAATATCTTTACCCCAACAGTAGCCATATAGTAAGTAATGATCAAGATTACCAGCATTAAAAATGAAAAAATATGATTACATTTCAAAGAGGGATCAAGAAGATCAGCTATACTACAGATTCTACAGTTCTTTGGGTGTTTGTTGCTTGGTTTTTTTTTTTTTTTCTCTTTTTTAGCTCCTTGCACTGTTTAATTTTGTACAATACTCCTCAGAGAATTACAATCACTCTTTCTCTATTTGTACAGTAACACACACAGTGGTGGACTAGGTTTGCTCCATCCAGCAAAGTAAGGGAGAAAGGCTGCTTTCCTGAAAACTGTTTTTACAGGAACCACAATTTACAATGTATAAGTAGTTTCCAGCAAGCAACGAACCTATTCAGTTTTGGTCCTAGGCATTAAAGCCACAAACTAAAATATTATGAAAGGCAAAGAAACAAAAACATGTGGATTCACCCAGAACACTCAATAATACTTTCTGAAAACTGTTCAACAGAATGCAGTTAAAATCCAGATCAATCTTTTCATTCCTGTGAAGTTATGAATCGTGAGGACCTTGATCAGTTTTGGCCTGCTGTTTTTCATTTCTTTGAAGAATAAAGGTTCTGACTGTCAAAAACAAAAGCATGAAAACTGAGACTTCCTGAGCCTCTCCAGAAGAGTGTATCCTTTCCAACTTCACTACATCCTCACTCTAAACATGAAGAATTTGTACCCCTTTCTCTGAAGTTCTCCCTCACAAAGCTGCAGTACAAAAGGAATTAGAGGTGTTTTACCTGTAAGCCTGGACTGACATGCACACTTCAAAGTAATACTTACTTCAGTTGTCTATTTAGTTCTTCAACATAATTCTTTTGGTCCAAAATTGCAGCAATCTGTACATTTCTAAAGCAAGCACATAATAAAATTGGCTTTAACAAAATGATGTAGTGAACTATGTATCGAAAATATACATATCTATCATATGCAAATGTTCATCTTAATTGTGCTTTTTAAACAGAAAGGAAGCAACTTCATCTCACAATCATGAAGTCAATAACTTACATGTCGTGATATCAGTGAGAGGCAAAAAACCCCAATGCTTTAACTGCAAACAATTTCTCTACATGAAACATAAGAACATATACAGTCTCAAAAGAAAAAGGATGTTTATTTACGCTGCCATAACTCTGGTTCTTTAAAATACTGACTAAATCCCAAGCTGAGGGCTTAAAGGTTAGCAGGTTCTTTTTCACTGCCGCCTTGCAATCCTCCAATACTGCCCAGAAGGTAAAGGAAGTAGGTGATGTTGCTGAGGCTTGCTTCAGAGTGCAAATATTCATCCAGCTAACTAGTAATACAGAACAATGCAGCGTACAATTTTTCTCAACCCTGTGAGATCAGAAAACTTCCATCTTTAGGGAACCTAACTTATTTCTACAAAGAACAAGGCACCAGTCAAGAAATCATTTGTTAACATGCAAAATCTGAGGTATTTGGTGAGGACATACCTTTCCTTACCCCCAATGTCATCATCGCTCTTTAAATACATAGAGAAATCGATGACCCCAACCTAGGGGAAAGCAAATGTACACAGTTTCATATCGTACAAGTAACTGCTGTTGATATTCACGGTCTTGTATCTACATAATTACTAAAACCTCAGTTACATCAGCTTTTTTAAGATTGGTCAAGTTTCAGCCAGAGGCTCAAAAAACTGAACGTAACGTTTTAAACAGGATTCTTTTTTTTTTTAAAGTGTAGTCTCACGTATTTATTAAGAATTATGTTACCTTTAAATAAAACTAACAACATGCCAGGTACCAAAGAAAAGATGACTTATTACCTCTGACTGAGCTTAGCCAAGAACTTACAGGAAGACTTTCCTTTGGGGAATTATCAAATACTACTCAACCCTATCACTGATTGAGCAGACTTGTGATAATTTGTCTGTAGTGTTTCACATGATTTCCTACCACAGCACATCTCCCAAACTGATGTTTCCCCCATGTTTAGCTTTTCAATATTCCTTGCCAAATAATGCTACCTCTCCACACCTGCTGATTCCCAGGAGTGCCAACTCAACTGCATTCATTTTTTAAAATCTGAATCAAATTAATTTCTTTTCTATTCAATTGTAATTTAATCATATATACTACAAATAACGTTACCATGAGTTCTGCTTCCAAATCTACTCATGAACCTCTAACAAACGTATTTAACCACGTTTGCTTAACCAAAAGCCTTCCTTTTTGGTCTCCAGCAGCCTCTTCACGGAAGTATTTCAGTTTCTCTGATCTACTGCTTCCTTCTTGAGCTTCCTTTAGCTTTTGAGTACAAGTAACTTGCTAAGTCTAACATTTCCTTGGTTTGTACAATGCTCTCCTGTCAGTTTCCTATGATGGTCTTCTACTTGCTCTTTCCATATCTTTTCTAAAAAGTCTGGCCTCCGAAAGCTTTTTAAAGTAAAAAAGCTCTCTATAAAAAAGTAAAATGTTACCTCTCTAAAAGTTACGTTGTTTTAATTCTCCCTGTGTGCATACACACATTTCACCACTGAATAGCATTCTTCTAAACATACCAAAACTATGCTCCCGGATGCGACTTCCATCCTCCTTCCGAAGTTTCTCTTTCTGCCCAATACAACTTGCTTCTTTTGGCTTCTCTGAGAAGGTGCCTTATTTATACTACTCTTCACAAACAGAATTACTCTAAAATCTCATCTGGACAGCCACTACTACCTTCTCAAATCACGTTTTGTGTCCCCTCGTATAGCAAAGACACCAAGTGACCTAATAACAAATGTGTAGCTAGCAATAGATTTTGTGATTTATAACAACACATGTAATTCTCAATAGTAAGAAGAGCACATTGGTAAGTTTTCTGTAATTACAGGCCTTTCAATATTATGTCTTCTGGTACGCAAGATCAGTGCCTAAAACATTAAATAGCAACTAGAATGCACAACTGAAGACAAGTTAACCCTATGATTCACATTCTTTGCCACAGAAATTGCTTTTTCATCAAATATATACTGAAATACAGTAAATAATCACTTAAACTATTACGATTTTTTTCCACAAAGAAGTTGGACAAAAACAATCAGGACTGAACACAGCCTACATTTATTTATAAATACTTGTGCATCTGCCTTTAAAAAGAAGCCATCAAGATTTTCTTGGAAAAGATCAAAGTTCAAAGTCAAAGCGCTTTGCAAAGGAGGAAGAATTCTAAGTCTTGTTTTGCAGATTGAAAGCAGTCACCCTCTTATAAGGTCTTTTATTACATTATGTGAAGCAAATTTTTGTTTCAGGTCCTTGAAACATTCCTATTATGTTCCAGAACAACAATAAATTAACTGAATGGGATAAACTGATCATGGAACTATACTTCTTCCGCAAAGGAAAAGGATGAGTTATGCAATTAAGATGGAAAGAACTTTGCATTGCCACTATTGCATCCATTTGATGATGAAGCATAAAACCTTACTTTTGCTCTCTGACAATTATCACCGTCTAAAGGTCTGACCCAACTGATACTGAGGTTAATGCAGCAACCCCCACTGATCCAGGAGCTGGATCACACCCTAAATAGTCTCTGGTAAGATTTCTAACAAGTCATAACTCCATAGCAACAAAATTCACTGTACATAAAAATCTTATGGATTGCATGTACATTACTTTACCTGCATTGACTTACTTGTGAATCTAGGTCTTCCCCCTTCACACACAGGTTAGCATCTATCACATTCAACCCAACTAATAGCCCAACAATAACTGCTCCTTCTTCCTCCATCATTAATGCATGATATTCATAAAATTCACTGTTAAAGAAGAAAATTGCATCTCATTGTTATATTCAGTATATTTACATGCAATAAATTCATAATAAGTGACATCTAAATCTGAATTGTTTCTCCTATTTTAGCCTTACTCCAACATCCTTAAAGATGAACTGGGTCTGCCCATACTTGCACCTCATAAATATTTAAAAATTGAAAGTGCATGGTTTGTCTCAGAGGCTATTACAAACAAAGATACTACCTTTGGCTCCAGAAATCTGAGCCACAAGCTGCTGGAGAGCTGGGTAATCTGGAGGGCAAGACTTAGTTTGCCTTTAAAAAAAAAAGAAAAAAAAAAGGCTCTTCACTTGCTATTAGCCACTTTTGAATAGAATACTGCCCAGAGGCCAGAAGCTACACCTTGCTACACTAAGGATACATTAAAAAGTAGCAAAGAGAAAATAATATTTTTTTTTTTCAGGAGACTAAACCTCTAAAAATAAATTATAAACAAAACCTACTTAATTGTTTACCTGAGAAGATCTCTCTGAATAATTAAACAGCGAAGATAGTCAGCCATTTTCTTCTGCATTAGTGCTAACCGTAACCAGGCCCGGGCACGGCCCAGTGGTGTTCTGAAAAAAAGGGCATGAAGACAAACAGTCCCAAATCAACAATATATCAATTAATTCACTGTCTTAAACATCTTATCAGTCTATTGGTACAGCAACTGGTATTTCTGAAAGGGTATTTTAAACTATTAGTTGAGCAATGCAGTCTGGGAAGCCATAATGTCTAGGCTTTGATTCCAAGCTTTGGGATAATCAGAAAAATTTTCATCAACTCAGCTGGGCTTGGGAGCAGACCCTGGAAAGAACAGGAATAGAGAAAGCACAAGAGCCTGACAGTAAAATTAACTGGTTTGCTCAGAGAGTGAAAACATGCAACTTTCTGCACTCCGTTGTATTTCAATGTGCTTTGTTCTCACACAGTGCATGGCCAGCAGCACGGAAAGAAGGCCCCTCTAAGTACCTTCTTCTTAACCTGACAGTGCCTGTAAAGATAATCTTGAAAGTCCTGTTTCTAGCTGAAGCAAAACGTCTGCAACAATTCAGACTCCTTTCTGCAACTTGCTTATGAAGTCTTCAGCGGACTTGTGAGAAAAGTAACCAAATGCCCATTACAACTCATCACGCAAGCTTGCCTTCCCAAATCTATTCTCTGGGTCTATACAACGTGCATTGAATTCTAGCTTTAACTCATACTTATTTACAAATTCAGTGGTATCTTAGAAAGACAATTCAAGAAAGATGAAAATGTATGTAACTGGCAAACATAAATATCCAACAAATTAAACCTGGACTTTTAGATCCTCCTCTTCTAGTGCTTGCACACTTAGAAGCAGTAAGCACATAAATGCAAAAAAAAAACCCCAAAACCCGCATGCTATATCAGGATAGGAAGAGTGTAACACATTTGACAAAGGGTATTATTTCATCTGGCCTGATACAAGAGTAAATAGTAATTTATATACCTATGTGCTTTAGATAAAGTCTAAAGCTACAAATTATAATCCTTATGTTGCCATATACCAATCCTTTTGGAATTTAATGTATGGCCAGTTATAAAGCTAAATACAAAAGCAGAGTGCAGAGGAATGGGAGAAGACTGTAGTTCACAGCATAAATTTACCTTTGAGAAGGAGACCCTACACACAAGAATCTGAAAAGCTGCCTAATACTTTCCTCTTCAGTATGTTACCTTTTGTTTTTATAGAGCCTTTGCTGACTTGACTCACGTGTTTGCTGCAGCTCTAGACTGCAGACTGTTTGATACACAATCTGTTCCTTTTTGCACCATTTTTGTCCACCGTTCAGAAAACTTTTCTCCCAGGAACATCAGAAAAGAACATAAAAATACTACTTTTTTAGCTGTTTTGTGCAGAACATGAAAAGCTAGCAAGATTCACCTCTGCTGTCCCCCAATATGATGCGCTAGCTGTTCAAAGGCTTGATTAATGCCAAATGAAATCATGAGACATCTGTAGATTCTCAATCAGGTCCTTTATTTTCTTGCTGTATTTTACCAATACTACTTACTTAAGGCCAGGCAAATCTCTGACACTTGCTGCTATTTCCTCAGCTTCTGGATATAATTTCTCCACCAGTTCCAGAGGACCCCAGATGGTTTTATTGTAACTTAGAAAGGATTTTCTTACTAGGAAAAGAAAAATTAAGTAACTGAATTAATTTAAATTACTGGAGTTAGCTTCCTTCAAAATAGCTGGTGTGACAAAAGGGTTAACTGCTGAGCCTAGAATTCCACATAACAGACGACAGTCACCAGATAACAGACTGGTCAGTTCACCAGTATCCAAAGCCACCTTCCAAACTACTTTGCTGTGAACATAAAATTGCTGTGCTAGAACAAAATAACATAAAAAGGATGACTAGCTAAAAATATAAGCTACATACATACATGCAATTGTGGTAATTCCTGGACCACTTACAACAACAACAAATGATATACAAAAGAAAAAGTTGGTAAATGTGGAAATATATGTTGTGAAGTAATAATAATGACACTATTAATTATAAAAGGTGACAATTTACATATTTTCTTCACTTCTTAAAGCAACATAACACACTTTGATTTTATCTCATTCAAGAAAGAAAGGAAAAAAAATGGCATGTTTGGGATGAGAAATACGCAGCTAGAGCAATTACCACACCTTTAAGGCCATGCTTCAGGCAGTGCTCCATGACAACAAAGAACTGCTGCAAAGGTGGGTAGTCAGAATCCAGAGTGCGGCCAAAGCTCAAAGCTGATTCAATGAGTCCTTTGATACTCAATTTAGCCATGTTCAGTAAATTTGCTCTTTCTACGGCTGTAGGGTCCTTTACAGCTAAGACAATAAAGAAAAAAAAAAAGTTATGGTTCAAGTTTTAGAAGAGATGCAAAATAACAAAAGCTTCATGGCCACCTTGTTCAAAGAAAAACTTATCTTAATCGAGATAAACTCAAAGGAATAATTTAGCAACTGCTATAAAGCACCATGTAATAGAAAAGCATCCACTCCAACAAGCACCCTTACAGATCTTACATTGTTTTAACAGGTGAATGAAAAAACAGGGCGGGAAATGTCAGTTCTCAGGTACTGTGTTGTCTCAGTACATCTTGGAAGCAGTCAGTAACTGCAAATTAACACAGGCATCAATGCTGTGCTCAAAAGCTCTGCTGCTTAACAGCAATCAGTGCCCTTACCATGATATCAAAGCAGCACTCCTATTAATATAAGTATCTATTTGGTGTATTATAGTCTACCTACAGAAACAGACATCATACTTCTTATATATAATCACTTTCCGCTGTAGTCTTAATTTCAGAGTGACATAAACACATGCTTGCCTTCTTAGGCTGTACATAGTCTCAGCCATTAAGCTGGGAGCAAGCTTCAAGACAATATTACATATTACACACTGAATTTCAGTTTCTCATATAGCTAAAAATGTTTTCTACACAGGGAAGTTTAAGAACTAAAGGTTTTGCTTTAACTTAAAAATGTTTTTGGTAAACTTTACAAAATGTACACTACAAAAACACATTTGGGGATTAAATCTAGTCAGTAAAAAACCCATAGCTTTTTAAAATCATCTTAATCTGACAGAATGGTTCTCTTCTTAGAGCTCCTGCTCTAAGAAAACCAGAGTGAAACCAGAGTGTTCAGGAGATTCCTAGTTTATTTTCATTTGTAACAAGGCAGTTCAAACATTCAGGCCACCCTCTATTTTGTCAAACTGAAACAGAGACAGAACAACCCTCTGTTTATTCACCATGATCAAAGTAACTTGGAAGAAGCAAAAAAAGTTGATGATTTACTGTTTTCTGCAATTAAATCTAACAAATGAAGTAAAAACCAAACAAATGAAGAACACAGATCATCTTTTTTAAGACACTAAGACACAGATGTCAAAATATCTATACAGATTTGTGTCTGAAAAAAACCGTGAGCCTCTTCCTCTGCAAATCTGAATATTGGTATATGACCTTACCTCTTTGCACATCAAAAAGCATAAAGAACTGTATACATTAAAACCAAAAAAAACAAATTATTGTAACAGATGGATACTTTCTCAGTTCCTCAAACAGCATTGAAATGACTTGTCTCATTTCTTGCATACCATAGCTTTAGTTATTTAGACATTAGATATTAGAAACTTTAAAAATTACTAACTGTCTGTATTTCTAACTGCCTGTCAAAGAGCAAATTACCATATTACTATATAACCTAATCTCTCTCAGTTTTCTGAGAGATGTACCTGAGATGATGTACCTGAGATAACCTTAGAAACTACTTTTATAGTCTCTCAATTTATGAGTACTTCAACAGAAAACACTAAAAGATGTTAGAAGACACAGCATACCATTAGCAACTGTGCCTTCACAAAAATTTACCCAGCTAGCAGTCACAGCTCTCTACTTTGTCTCTTGACTTCCTGCCCGCTCAGCCGCCAACCCTACCCTGAACCTGAACCCTACCAAGAGCAGTATGAGTACCCCTGTCTGGAACAGACAGAGGCCTGCAACAACAGGAGCGTTTCTGCTGGTAAAGCTCATGTCAGATTTCCTGCTTTTTATTAGGTTTGCTATCAGCGGTACTAAATATGAATGTTATTGTAGGAAAAGCCTTGTTCAATTCAGACTTCAGGTGGATAGCTCTCCCTTGCTACGTATTCAAGTCTATTTCCCCAAAGGCACCTCACAAATTCCTATTTCAGGTGACCTCATTTTGACTTCTGGAGCTGATCGTCCCAACAGACAGACTTCCACGTCTACTGTCCTTCTAATTGTCAGCCCTCTTGCCTGGTCTTTGTGAGACAGAAAAGCATTTTAGGTCTTGTTTTAAAGCATGGTCTACCTGCACATAGCTATTTTTCTTCACCTGCTTCTTAAAAAAAGATCAAGATTTAGAATTTCACATGGCATGTTTTCTAGTAACTGCTGGTCAGAGATTGTGTGGGGTAGACTGTACATACACGGAGCAAAATGAGCTACCAAGGGCCCTGAGGGGTTCATCTCACCCCAAAGCAGCAGCCCCCGAAGGGACTATTTGCAGGTGGCACTGATGTCGCCAGCCTCACCAGTCTGACTAGCAGGTCTTGGCCCAAAAGACACTATTCCTCTCCCAGTTTGGATGAGCAGCCAAACCCTTACTGCAAACAGTATTTGTGCAAAAAACCGCCCAAGCGTGTAGTCACTACGGCTAGAGGCTGAACAAGGTCTCCCTGTGTCACCCGACAGCTAGCAAAAAACAAGTATTTTCCTCCATTAACGCGAGCTCGCTGGCACGAACCCCTCAGCCTTCCCGAAGCCCGCTCCCCGGGGTGCCCATGGGCGCGGGCCGCACCTCCCAGCTACAGGGAGGGAGGGAGGGACGGAGACC